CAGGCCATTACTCGAAGTATTGTAAGGTGAATAAGGAGGGAAAAAGGACATGTTACGAGTGCGGGAGTACTGATCATCTCCGTAGAGCATGTCCTAAACTGAACAATGGACCTGGTAACAATGGACAAGGCCAAGCCAGGCAAAACTTTCAAGGAAATCAAGTTGGACAGCCAAGAGGTGTAGCCTTTGTGATTGGTGCAGAAGAAGCTCGTCAGAACCCTGAAGTGATAACAGGTACGTTCCTCCTGAACAACCATTTTGCATCAGTAATATTCGATGCGGGAGCAGATAGGAGTTTTGTTTCTTTAGCATTTAGACCGTTAATTGGCTTGAAATCGGTAAAGATGAGGAATGCTTATGCTATTGAACTTGCTGATGGGTATGAAATTAGGGCTAGTGATATAATTCCTGGTTGTACTTTGAATTTAGCTGATAAACTCTTTAGCATTGACCTAATTCCTATAGAGCTAGGTAGTTTTGATGTGATAGTAGGGATGGATTGGTTATCCAAAAATAGAGCGGACATTGGTTGTTATGAGAAAGTCATAGAGTGCCTCTCCCTAATGGAGAAACCCTTATCATACACGGTGAGAAGCCAGGAAGAAGTTTAAACATAGTATCAAGCGTGAAGGTTCACAAGTACCTGAAGAAGAATTGTATTGCATTCATGGCCCACGTGCTAGAAAGAGAACCTGAAGCTAAGCAACTCAAGGAGATTCCAGTGGTTCAAAACTATCCCGAAGTATTTCCGGAGGAATTTCCCGGTCTACCCCCTTATAGACAGGTCGAATTTCGGATAGACTTAATTCCCGGAACGGCACCGGTAGCAAAAGCACCATATCGCCTTGCACCATCCGAGATGCAAGAACTATCCGGACAACTTCAAGAACTTCTAGACAAAGGGTTTATTCGACCAAGTTCTTCACCTTGGCGAGCCCCAGTGTTATTCGTCAAAAAGAAAGATGGTTCGTTCCGAATGTGCATTGATTACAGAGAATTGAACAAGTTGACAATCAAGAATCGATATCCCCTCCCTAGAATAGATGACTTGTTCGATCAGTTGCAGGGCGCTTCCTACTTCTCAAAAATCGACCTTCGGTCAGGGTATCATCAGCTAAGAATTCACGAAGAGGACATTCACAAAACAGCATTTAGAACCCGTTATGGACATTATGAGTTCTTAGTCATGCCTTTTGGACTAACGAACGCACCCGCTGTATTCATGGATTTGATGAATAGGGTCTGTAGACCATACTTAGACAGGTTTGTAATTGTATTTTGTAACACTGATTTTTCAAACAAAATTTTCGATTTTTATAAAAGCATAATTCCATCAATATTCATAGAAACAACCCCTTTTAATTGTTCAACAAGATATTACAAAATCCCAAGATCAAAATGTCAAGCTCCAAACGTGTGTGTACGGATCAAGCCGGCGCCTTCCCACGGTCGTCACTAGCACCTGAAACAAATAACATCAACACTGTAAGCACAAAGCTTAGTGAGTTTCCCAAAATACTACATATAACACATATTAGCCACTCGAGGCTATAACTCTGTGGGTCCGTGCACCCAAACTCTGCGAACCCTCAGGTTCTAACTCTGTGAACCTTCCAGTTCTAACTCTGTAAACATGCACAGCATCAAACATATAAAGTAATGCAGTACAACACATAACATACATAGCATACAATTACTCTATCACATAACTCTGGTTACCTACTCAAGGTAAAGTATAGTGAGAAGACTCACCTCGTGTGTCTCGGTAAACCGTAACCCTGAAATCGCTAAACACTCGATCTGCCGAGCTGAAGTCCCCCTATAGCACAATATATCTCTAATTAACACTTTCCCAACTAGGGTTGACCATACCATAACAGGACAATCTAGGTCAACGCTGGTCAACGGTCAACTTGACCGGACTCGGCGAGTGCACTATAGCGACTCGGCGAGTCTGAGCGCAATCACCAATTTCCCTGGAATCCTCTCTTGACACGTCGAGCATCCCTCCCAACTCGACGAGCTCCACCTGGCACGAGTTGTGGGGCCACCACGACTCAACTCGCCGAGTCTCAAGAACGACTCGGCGAGTCCGGTTTGACTCGGTCCACCTGTCCATCCTGACTCCCCCTTGACCCACTGAGTTCACTCATCCCAACTCGGCGAGGCCACTCGCTGAGTGGTCGTGCAGCATTCAAGCTACTCGCCGAGTCTGTTCTTCGGACTCGGCGAGTCAGAGCCATGCACTGACTCAATCTTGCTCTAAGGCCAGATCCAGTCCACTAATCCATAGATCCAGTCCCCATGCTTATTTAGCACGTAAAGTCACAATCTTGATGCATAAATAACCTCTACATGATCACAAATGATGTTTTTGACTCTTTACTTCAACACAAGGCCAAGGACTCCATTTCCACCCATAAAGCTTGATGAGTGAGGCCCTCTGGACCTCTATGGATCCAGATCCATGGTCTCAACTCAAAGAGGGAACAAAAGGGCACCAAATCACCCCATAAATGATCATATTAAGCCCTAACTTGCATCAAGTTTTCACCAAACAGAAAATGGTCCGAAAATATTACCTCTAAGTGATGATCCAAGCTCCAAATCCACGAAATAGCAACCTCCTTTGCCTCCTCTTCCTAGAGCCTCCTTCTTCTTGCTAAACAAACACTCACAAGTCAAGATTTGCTCTCAATCCTTCACCAAACGCTCAAGAACTCTAGGGACACACTCTGGGGGTTGGATGAGCGCAAATGACGGCCATAAGGCCCCTTTAAATAGGCCACAAACCCGGGGATTTAGGGTCCATAACACAGCGCAGACTCGCCGAGTCCATACCCTGGACTCGCCGAGTCAAGCGCGCACCTTCGCTCAATCCGCGTCCCTACTCGGCGAGTCTGAGCCCTGACTCGCCGAGTCCCTCTTACAAAATAACACAATTAAACTTACATTATACTGGTAAAATCC